TGAAGTGCACTGGCCAGATGTTTTTCCAGCTTGCATAATGGTGAGTTAAAGGCGCTTACGATTGGACGCAGGGGAACCCCGTCCTTATGGATCTTTGGGAGCCCGTAGAATTTTGGGCAACGACTCGATTTTTCCCTCGGAACAAGTTTCTTCTTTTTATCCTCGTTTATTGATGAGTCGAGAATTTTGGACTTAGTTGTTTTTTCCAAATATGTCGTGGGATCTCTGGTGACTAGTTTGTATATTGGGTCGTTCAAAATATCCTCCCATTTTGCATTATAATCCGACGTATTCATGATGACAGTGGCATTTCCTTTGTCTGCTGGCATTATTAGAATGTTTTCGTTTTTGTTTAGATTCCTTAAGGCTTGCATTTCTTCTCTGCTTAAGTTTGGTTGCGGTGGTTTTGACTGTCTTAAGACTCTGGCGACATCTTGCCTAATTAACTCCGCATCTTGTTCGTCTATGGTGGAAAGACTTGCTTCGACGTTGGAAACGATCTCTTCGACGGGTACTCTTTTTGGAGCTATTGCGTAGTTAAATCCTTTATTCAGTACGCTGACTTCTGTATCGGAAAGATGGTATGCTGAAATATTATGAACTATACTGCTTCGGTTTGTATTTGGCACTTGTCCTGATTTTTTGGAATTTGGCTGAAGGATTTCTAATTTCTTCCACAGTTTATTTGACGTGATGTCCTTGTCTTTTTCAGTGCGCCATGATGTTAATAATTCTATGCGGTCCCACAGCAACTGATGGATCTTGTTGCTCAGTTTCAGGTGGAGTCTGAAAAGTTGTAGCTCAGTCTCACTAATTTCGTACCGGGTCCGCCTGATCTGGTCTTGGAGTAGGGCCTTGCTAGCTTTGTCCAGGATAGCTTGTGTCTTTCTGGTGCGTGTGTGATAAGACAACCTTGTAAATGTTGGCAGCAAGTTCTGGTTGCGGCAGCTTTTAAGAAAATTCAAGTTGCACAGCGAAATAACCCTCCTTTGTCTTAGTTTTTCATAACACTTGGTAGCTGTAAAGGTCTCCTTCCCGTAAAGGTGTATGATATTCTCACGTATTGATTCACGGATGGAAAAATGTGATGACACTATATTCCGGGATATCATCCGTTCGGAGGGTTATTTCGCTGTGCAACTTGAATTTTCTTAAAAGCTGCCGCAACCAGAACTTGCTGCCAACATTTACAAGGTTGTCTTATCACACACGCACAACAAAAACAAACAAAAATGTCAAAGTTTATTTATACCTTAATGCGTCAAAAAAAAGGATTGTGATGTCAAGCCAACTACATTTTTAAATATTTTGATATTTCTTTGTTGTTTTGATGCCAGATGAAGCGAGCTTTTTAATAGGATAATTTTTAACTAAACTTTATGGACTGAATTAACGAACTCTTTTTAGTTAACTCTCTGTTTTCTAGATTTATTCGTATATCTGGAGTATAATATCTTTAAAAGAAGTATTATCATGTCGTTGCTATTTAAGGAATACCTAACATTGCGAACAAGTGACCTAATGTGGATAGCTTTAAATTCAACAAGATTTTATACGGGTGTTACCTTAAATCTCGAATATATCAAAAAGTAAGTAAAATTTAAATATAAGCCGAATTACAAACTTACCTTATTTTTTGTCCTAGAATTGATATCTGAATAAAAATTTAGGATGTTCCATTTGAAAATTATCAGATTTTGTTAAATGAATTCGCCAAGAAGGCACCACCTATTTGGGACGCCGTGTATAGACTGAGGCGCATCTATCACACTGATTGAGTAGTGCATCATATTCTTAGTCTGCGGTTAATACCTGGATCAGTAGCGTCACAATACAATTTTATATGAAGCAATCAAAAATGTCAAAAAAAACACATAACCTCAATTTCTGCCTAAACAATTCAAAATTTGAATAGGAATTTCTAAAGAAAGTCCTTTATTGCAACCAAGGATTCCAAAATTCTCGAAATATACATGGTTCCATTTGAAATAGAAAAGTTGATGTGATGGAGGGGGGGGAGGGGAGGTGGCAATTTCGAACACCCTGTATAAGTCCAGGCAACTTTTTTACAAAACTGTTTTTCGTATCTCCAATGGATTTCCAGATCGTATCGTTTATCGGATCGTTTTATTTGGCACACGGTGTACATTCGATCTTCAAATTTTTGTTTCTTATGTTCATATGTTGACAGTTTCAGTCAGTTTGCACGTTTACTTTTGTCGAAAAAAAATGGAACAAAGAGTTTGCACAAAATTTTTGGTAAAAAATGGATTACAGTGGTGCAAAGCACTTGAAATGTCGATAACGGCATATGGTGAATCTACTTTAAGCAAAAAAAAACGTTTATAAGTGATACAAGTTCCAAGATGGCCGCCAACATGAAACGTGTAGCAGCAAATTTTGTTCCGAAACTGCTTAATTTTGAACAAAAGGACCGTCGAAGGTGCATCGCTGAAAAGCTGTTAAACGACATCAACGATAATCCTGATATGCTCGAAAAGGTCGAATCATGAGTATATGGTTATGACCCTAAAGACCAGTCGTCGCAATAGAAGAACCCAGAATCGCCAGGACCGAAAAAAGCACGTGAAGATTATCGTGGCGTATAGAATTCTTACCCCAAGGTAGTACGGTCAATAAAGAGTATTGCCTTGAAGTTATTCGCCGTTTGCGAGAATCAATACGAAGAAAACGTCCGGAGTTTTGGGAAAACAATTCACTGGTCATTCAACATTACTTGTGTCTAACTATTCGGCCAAAAACAAAACCAGAATCATGCTTCAGCCACCATATTCACCGGATATGGCCCCCTGCGACTTTTTCCTGTTCCAAAAACTTAAGAAATCCATGAAAGCAAGGACGTTTGGAACTATTGAGTTGATAAAGAAAAAATCGCTGGAGGAACTCAAGGCTATACCAGAAAGTGCTTCAAGGATTGGAAAAAACATTGGCACAAGTGTATTATATCTGGGGGAGAGGGATTACTTCGAAGGGGACAACATTGATTTTGATGAACAAATAAATACTTTTTGATAAAACTTAAAAGTCAACTTACCTCAATTTTTCAAAGAAACTTCCACAGGCTACTGTAATACTTTTTACAAAACTTCGTCCTGTTGGCTTCTTCGTAGCTTGACTGAAACTGGCTCGCATTTTACTCTGTACCTGCTTATATATTTTTTGAGGGGGCTTCGCTAAATGAGGGGCATAAACACCGTCTCGGATGACTGATTTCTAATGAAAAACACCTGAGTCGCGGTTAAGATTCTTAGGTTGTTTATAAATTTCTATTGACTCTCGGGTTTGTCGTTGGTAGAAGAATTGATCACATGCAAGAATTTTAGTTTTATCGGGTAAAATTTTATGTCCTGTTTCGTGATTGTGTTCGGCAACAGCTGATGAGTTTATTTGTCTTAGTCGTAAGGCTCTTTCGTATTCTTTGAGCCTGGATATTTTTGGTCCGATCTCCCCAATGTATTCTTGGCAAAGAATGCTGTAAATTCCTGGCTTCTCAAATGGAATTTTGTCTTTGACGGACCGAAGATTTTTAGACAAATGGTAAATCTGGTTTTGACGTTTTTTTCCTTTAGAAATTTTGATATGTGGTAAGTGATGTTTTGAATGTAAGGAAGGACCACAATGGCAAGTGTAGGATTGCTTTCGGCCTCATGGCTATTGGAAGGTTGTATCTTTAATGTGGAAATTATTAGACAGAAGAGCAGAGGTAAGGTGTTTTAATTCTGGTTTCAGTAACTTGGGGTGAGATATGAATACGAGATACGGCTCTATAAACAAGAGGCTTGATAACCGATGATTTTTAGTGATGTGACCGTGCATTAAGGTATCGGTATATGCCCCTCATTTAGCTCAGCCCCTTCAAACAAGATATAAGCATGTACAGAGCAAAGTGCGAGCCAGTTTCAGTCAAGCTCTGAAGAAGCCAACAGGATGATTGGCGAAACGTCAGCAAGTTCGACTCAGCAAAAATCGAGGCAGGAGGAAACCCGAAGTTTTGTAAAAAGTGTCACCTTATCTTTTTGGACACACCTTGTATTTAGCAGAGACCATTGTTTGTGTAGAGCTTGACATTATAACAGTTCACAAGCGAAGGAACCATTGAAACAACCATCCGCGAAACCGTCAGTCACACATGTATGCTTTAGTTTTGAGGTTTGAAAATATGGAGAACGTTGGATGATATCCAAATCTTAAATATTATATATTACATAGAAACAAGAATGTTTCGTATAATTTAATTCAGATTCTTACCTCTCTCGGAAGCGAAATTAATGTTCATTTCTACTTTTCAATTTGAATTATTGTCTTATTATTATTATTGAGGAAATTTGTTTATAAAAAAGGGGCTGGATTAAAAAACCTACTTCAGTGATAGGTCTACTCGCAGAATGTTATTTTTCAATACAAAAACAGCTCTTGCTATCTCGCTGGCAAAGTAGACGTGGTAAAATAGAGCACTGGTGTGAAAATTTTATCCGGTGTAAAATTTACTCAAACGTTTTTTTTCCTACTAAGGTCAAAATATGTTTTTGAGCAAACTCCTTATTTCTTTATGCTTATCTTTTCTGATATTTTTATAAAAACTCATTACATCCATTAACTTTTTGTTGTATTTATTATGTTATTTCAAATTATTTTAAATTTTATAATTTTTAACAAAAACCCGACCCTATTGGCGTCAACAAATTGATTCTTTACAAGCGAATTGTTTTTAGAACACGCACGTCATGCCAAATGGTTGGTTGAATTGCTTCTGTCAGCTAATCCAAAGTGATAGCCGTTGCGAAAACTTTTTTCATTTTATTGATCCGCCGATGCAGCGCACTATTACTGGAACAAATATTGCACGAAATCTTTCTGAAAAATTACGTTTCAAATTCTAAATAGGTTTTATAAGCCCGAACAAATCCAATATCAATTATTCACCTACAGAATTACAACCACATTCAATAGCTCATTGATATTAAACAAACAACCCTTACCTGCAAGCTCTTCTAACGTGTCAAAACGTCGAAATGGCATCCGCACCGTAGTTGATGACCATCTGCAAACAGGCTCCATTGAAAACATTCAACAACGGCATCCATGATGAAGTGATTGTTCGTTAACTAAAATCTTTAAAGAAATCATCATTAGCATCTCGTTTAATTTTCATTAACACTTTGACTGCCATGTACATCTCTAAGTATACACAGTGACTTGTCTTAGGGTGCCACGTGTATATTGCGAAAATAAATATTTTAAAGTTTTAAGTTCGCCTGTGAGATAAAACGAGTGGGTAAAGATCATATTTATGTGTTCGTCGACTTGTCAACTTCACTTTAATAATGTCCTGGCTCCCACGAGTCTTCTTTTTACTGCGGCGATATACGAACTTTTTCATAAACTGGCATTAACGAGCGCAAGGAGATCACGCACTGGGATTACAAACATTATAAATGCAAACGCTAGGGGGCGGCTTGTAACTGAATATTTTATCGCGACATATTTCCGCTGGCCTCCTAGTTTTCATGTAGTGAAATTCCATAAACAAAAAATTAAATTAAATTGCTACAAATTTTACTTTTAATGCGTTATATCGGGAGCTCAAATAAATCCCACGAAATATTTCGAGTTTTTAATTTTTAGCTGCACCTTGTTGCTTTCGAAAAATTAATGAAATCGATTCTTTTCGAAAGTAAGTTTTATTGTGAAGTTATATACATTGTATATTGTATAGTATATTATGACGTTATATACAATTTTGTGTTAGCATATACTTACATATATTTAATTTAAAAATTTTTTTTCCTTTCTATGACTTGCTACAAACAATGATATTGTAAAGTAGTCAATAAACCATCTATCTATCTATTACGCGCTATTCGGAAAACTCCAGATCTCACTCACAGTGCATCCTACAGTGTCGCCGTTCGTACACATGAAATCAGGATCGAAAATGATATTAGACAATTGCTTCGATCGCACATTGGTGACCATCTTGTTTTAGGATTTTCTACTGTTTTTTTTTTTGGAATTGCTATGAAACACGAAATTTGAAGCTATCGACTTCGAATTTGGCACACATGAAGTTTGGTTCCGTGACGGAACTTATTGAAATTGCGGAATCTGCGGGGTCGGGAAGTATTTAAAATAAATTAAAAATCGGGTTTGCAAGGGTCTAAGAAAAAGATCATTTCTCGAAAACCGAAAAAATTCTTTAACAAAAAGGCGCGGAAGATACAGCTCCATATAATTTTATTCCTGACAATTTTTCAAAAATGTACAGAGTGCGCCGCAAATTGAATTGAATTATTGAAAATTGACTATAACTCAAAGACTATATTTCAGATGCCTTTTTTTACATGAGGATGTAGCCTGTACAGACAGCTAAAGCTTTTGCATTTAAAGTTTTTACCTCTTCTACAGGATGTTCTCGATATTCCGTTCCACAAAAGAAATATATTAAGGGCCCTAAATTTGAAGATATCAACTTCAAATTTAGTAAAAAAGTAAAAGTCCGTACCCACATCTAAATAGTAAAAGTTGGGTGCAATCAGTCTCAGCAAGTATTTTGGTTTCCAGAAAAACAAGGTTTCTTTCATTCCTACGATAAGCAAAATTTTGGAACCGTGAAAGACAGGACATCCGGCACTATAACTTTTGTTTCATACATTTCTTAAATTATATACAGGGTGTTTTAGTTATGGACAAAAATCTAAAAAACTGTTAAAATTGTTCTTTTTGGGAGTAAATTATTAACCTTAAATCAAAATTTGTAAAAAATATGGCTAATCGGCAAAAAGTGTTACAGGTCGCATCAAGACCTACAATTTTTGTATTTAAAATTTTCACCTCACACACGTTTCTCGGGATATTTCAAAAAGTCCGTGCGAGAGTCATTATATCTCGAACTAAATCTAGACTCGATGACGTCATTTACTATTACGGCGAACTGCATGGTTTCAGAACAAAATTATTTTCTCGAAAACCATTAACTTAATAGAAAAAAGTCTTTGACTAGGAAATGTGGGTGTTCTAGTTCTATAACTTCTACTTCTGCCAGTTTTTCAATTATGTACGGGGTGTGTCGGTAATGGGCAATCTAAAAGATTCTGAAAATTGCCGTTTTCGTGGGTAAATTATTAGCTGTAAATGAAAAACTATAAAACATGTAATAATTTGGTTTAAACAGTATCGTAAACTGTATCAAGAGAGTTTCGGGTGTCGTCGATCATACAGGGTGCGCGAAATACTTGGAAAAATATCATTGGAAATCGTTATTACTTGTACAATTTTTTACATTTATCAAAGTTTGTCACTTTATAAAGGATGCATGCAATTTTGCGTTTCATAGGATGAGCACGATAGAAAAACATTACATCCATCTAAGAGAAGGAACCGTGAAGCAATGATTTTTCGAAAGCAATCTAGTTTTACTTGGGTAGTTAATATAGAAATATAAAATATGGACGGCTTATAATACTGTACCTTCAAGTGACGCTCGAAACGCGCAGCTATATTATCAATATTTTATTAATGCATTTGTAATAATATATTCTAATAGTTTTAGAATGAAGAAGTTCAATCAATGAGAAATGTTGAAAAGCGCGTCTTTGATCCACTTGTTTTAGCACTAGAACTCAGACGCCTCGCATATGCAAAAGTTAAATGAACAATATAAACGGTTTTCTATATGACCTCATAATTAAATGATGAACGTGTAAACCAAATTGCCTGTTTTGACACAATTTCTAGGCAGCCGAGTTCTTCAGTTTTAAATTACAAGCAACAGATGCTTGCCGTTTGCATCAATACGTCGCAACACGAAAATATTTGACAAATGTGACAACAGTGTCTTACTTCTCGACCCTCTCTTTGATTGCAATGGTAATGTCATATAATTATAATACCGTTGTGTTCATTATCTGTTTATTGCCCTATATGTTTTAATACAGACACAGCCTTTGTAGATTATACAAAAGGTTTGATAGGGTCAAAAAAGCAAACTCTGGAGCATGTTAGAAATTAAGGGATCGCACAACAGCTTGATGGAGCAGTACACAAGCAAAGAGCTATAATTATTGAAAACAATCTAGACTAATCCAATATACAGTGCCCCCGTAAGTTGGGGGTTCCTTTTTTGTACTCTTGTTGAAAATATTTGATTCATCAGTTTGTGCTAGACAGTCAAACGAAGCCAAATAGCTTAAATTAAAAAAATAAATGGTATTTATCATTTTTGTCAACTATTTCATTAAACGGTCGAAATTAGCACCTTGTGCATTTTGACAACGATAATGTCTGTCAATTAACTCGTTCCTGAGGGCATTACAATGCGAACATTTCGAACTATTTCTTTCAGACCTTCAACTGAATTTGTTTTTGTGACATAAATTTTACTTTTTAGATATCCCCAAAGAAAAAAGTCCAGGAGTATAAGGTCTGGCGACCGAGATGTCAATTTAATGGGCCCTCGTCTTTCAATCCACCTGTTAGGAAAAGCAAAATTAAAAGTAAAAGTAAAAGTAAAGTAAAAGTAAATTGTTTGATTAATTTCATTTCGTAACATATTAAGGTAATGTTCGCCAGTAATATTAAAATCGGTAAATAAAATTCATAAATAAAATAAATAAACTGACAAAATTAGTATGCAAATAGAACATTTTAACATTTATCTATATTTTAATTATATAAGTGCATGCCAAATTTCACTATATACAAGGGTACAAAATATTAAAGGGGGGTCCCACGATTTAAGCGGGCACTGTATATTAATCAAGGAGTACGACAAACAACCTGTCTGTCGCCTGTCGCCTTTACTTTTCGAATTATACATTGACGACCTGACAAAACTCCCAAAGGAATTCAGTTCTAAAGACTGCAAAATTATGAAATTTCCAAAAATAAAACAAAAATTATGGAATTTAAGGGTATACATATAATAAGATCAAAAATATGGATTGAAAACAAGTGCTTAGAACAAGTTAATTATTTCAAATATTGGGGTTGCGATGTAACATATAATATCGACATTAAACTAGCGAAATATATATATATATATATATATATATATATATATATATATATATATATATATATATATATATATATATATATATATATATATATATATATATATATATATATATATATATATATATATATATATATATATATATATATATATATATATATATATATATTGAAAATATGTTTCATTCCATATTATTATCTGAGTTCCTTATGAGATCAGCTGGATTTCTCGTCTGCATTATTTTCCCAAAATTCTTCTTATAGAACCACACATTTTATTAACAGATTTCGCTAGTTTAATGTCGATATTATATGTTACATCGCAACCCCAATATTTGAAATAATTAACTTGTTCTAAGCACTTGTTTTCAATCCATATTTTTGATCTTATTATATGTATACCCTTAAATTCCATAGTTTTTGTTTTATTTTTGGAAATTTCATAATTTTGCAGTCTTTAGAACTGAATTCCTTTGGGAGTTTTGTCAGGTCGTCAATGTATAATTCGAAAAGTAAAGGCAACAGGCGACAGACAGGTTGTTTGTCGTACTCCTTGATTAATATACAGTGCCCGCTTAAATCGTGGGACCCCCCTTTAATATTTTGTACCCTTGTATATAGTGAAATTTGGCATGCACTTATATAATTAAAATATAGATAAATGTTAAAATGTTCTATTTGCATACTAATTTTGTCAGTTTATTTATTTTATTTATGAATTTTATTTACCGATTTTAATATTACTGGCGAACATTACCTTAATATGTTACGAAATGAAATTAATCAAACAATTTACTTTTAGTTTTACTTTTGCTTTTCCTAACAGGTGGATTGAAAGACGAGGGCCCATTAAATTGACATCTCGGTCGCCAGACCTTATACTCCTGGACTTTTTTCTTTGGGGATATCTAAAAAGTAAAATTTATGTCACAAAAACAAATTCAGTTGAAGGTCTGAAAGAAATAGTTCGAAATGTTCGCATTGTAATGCCCTCAGGAACGAGTTAATTGATAGACATTATCGTTGTCAAAATGCACAAGGTGCTAATTTCGACCGTTTAATGAAATAGTTGACAAAAATGATAAATACCATTTATTTTT